TTCATGGCAATAAGGTTGTAGCAATGTGTTTATAAGGTAACTTGTGTATCTTCTTCAGCCATGGATGTGTTTGAGAGAAATGGTTTTGAACTGAATAATTGAGAACATGCCAGTGCTTCAGTCTTGTAGCTTAAGTTGCTTACTGGACCTCAGGTTCTCAAAGCCCTTGAACAATCTCTGAGCAAATAGTCAAGATTTTGTTGCAGTAACACAATTCAGCAATGAAATGGAAATCTCAATCTGTAAAAGAACCTGGAAATACACTGGAAAATGCAAGGCTCCGTATTCAGCCTGTGTGTGGTAACCAAAAACACTGGTCAGAAAAAAAAGAATTGCATCCCCTTGCTCAGCAAAACAAGATTTATCAAGAGCTGAATCTCTCTCAGGATGACCAATAGCACTTGAGAAATATACAAAAGTTGTTGGAATGTCATGTTGACCAGGGAGTACATGTTAATTAGAATAAAATTATGAAATAACAGATGCAACATTCCAAAAATGGTGGTATTGACAGAGAATCTGTGCCTGCAGCCTTGTTACTTCAACCCAATCATTAAACTTGGTTTTATCTATGAGTTGTAAATACTCAGTTCTGCATGGGTTTAGCCTGCTTGGTTTACATGTATTGTGCAATTAATACAGTTTTGCTCGGTCCATGTGAAATTGAATTATATTGCTTAACAAAATAATATACAGTAGTGTATTTACATATTTATATGCGTGTTTTATTGCCATTTTTAAAAAGCAGAGTAGTCAGTTTTTAAAGGACTATACTGTAATTCCATAAGCAGTAATTTGACTAGGTATTTATATGCTTAAGTTAGTTGTTTGGAATAATAATTAGAAAAAAAAAAACATAGTAAAGAAGCCTTCATAAAGATTTTTATTATTTAAAGCCCAGTGGAGATTTGAGATCAGTTATCTTAGGCATTTTATATATATTTACTGCTAAAGCTGCTGTTATTTATTCCAGACTCAGTTGTAGTATTGTCCTCTGAACTGAACAGGTATAAAAATAATTAAATACTTTGCTATTCTAAGTAGGGGACTTAGAATAGCAAAGTGGAAGGGGACTAAAATTCATGTGTTATGCACTAGATTTCTTTTCATTTGCTGTTCTTAGGAAGGGAAACTGGGAAGAGAGAAAGGAGATATGGAGGGGTACTAAGGTGTAGGAAGGAAATCTTGAACAAGCCTGAGTAAACTTAATGGCTGGGGGAACTGTGGGCCTGGTACATCTCTATCACTAAAAAGTTTTAACTGTTTCTGAACTATAGATGTGCAAACCATGGGGTATTTTTTGGTACTAAAGCTGTTCATAGGTCATATTACTTAAGAATGTTAAGGAAGTTGTAACTAGGGCCAGACTAAGTTGAGTACCATGGAATTCAGTGAGCCCTGTGTAAGATACCCAGTTGGATGAAAATAGCCGTTTGTACTTCTTGTGGTTGCTGAAAGAATTTTAAATATGAAAATGTTAATAAGAAGTTACTGATGCCTTGAAATATCCTTAGATGAGCATCCTGTTCTGCTTACAGCTATTATTGGTTATCAAACACATCCTGAGCCATTGTATGAACTGCTGCTGTTTAGGCTCAGTTTGTACTTATTGAACATTTGAAGTATTGAATAATGTTTGAAGTATTGCTGCTGAATTCTTGTGTGTATAGAAACTTCTTAAAATAACAGTGGTAGTCCAGCTCAGAGGTGGAAGGTATGGTTGGCAAACTGAATTTATTAGTGTTTAAACTGGTTGCAGGCTGTGTTGACCAGGAAAATCTTAGATATGTGGGCAAATGATGGATTGTGTTCATGTGCTCTTCTCACAGGTTATGATCAACTTCCAGATAGACTAGAAGGAAAAAGCATGTGAAAAAGGAAAAAAAAAACCACTGTCATGTTGATTTTGAGTCTATTATAAAGTCAAAATTATAGTAGAAGTCAAGCATACCCTGGAAGTAGGAAGTATGTCTTAAGGCTTCTGAAGGGCTATTACAGGGTCAATAAGGAGCTTTTTGCTGCAAGGTTATGCCTTAACTAAATGGTTTGCCTCCTAAAATAAATAAAAGTTATGCCACCCTAAACAGACAACAAATGGTTGTTTGAGACTTTGATGGGAGAATTAATTTATTTTCCTTTATGTAGCAAAGCCTTGAAACTACTCATTTGGAATGCTCTTTAGGGCTCGATCTCTCCTTATTTTATTTTTTTTTAATATTTAATTGTGTTATTCTTCAAAGACTGCCATGGCAATGATGAGGGGAAGAATGGGCAAAGGGTCAAGAGATATTAAACGTTAAAGGAAATTACAATTTTTGCTAATTATCATAGCAACAAAGGAATAATGAATCCTGGTGAGGAGGCAGAGGGGTGGAGGATGTTGGTGTGCACTCGCAGCGGTATCGCTGAACTGTGGTGTGACATTAGTCGGGTCATTCTGAGAGCTTGGCTCTGGTTTTTTTTCTAGTTATATGTTTTCAGAAAGTATTACTTAGTTTGAAATGCCCTGGGAATCTAACTAATGCTCTCTGCTTGGGTAGGCTTTTATGCATTTGTGAGTTCATTTTTGGTTTGTGTCCATGGAAAAGCTCTGCTCACAGGTGGGCCATCAGAGCAGGGAATCAGCTAGACTGCCATCACTGACATCCTTGGAAGTGGAGCAGCCCTGTCAAGCCCCTGTTCTTGCCATGACGGACGGTAGCTGCTCTAATTTGTTTGGTCCCAGTCCTGTGATTTGTTCTTTATAAAGAGCAAGTGAACTCCTGGGAGCAGAGGGGGAGACTCTTTGCCTGGAGGAGGTACTTATGAAAGAATAAACCCAGGGGTGCTATGCTTTGTCACTTCAGCTTGCCTGCTGTTGATGGTGCAATTGAAGAGGCTGTAGGAAAGGGAAGGCAAAAGGGGTCACAGGTGCTTTGGGAGGGCAGCTGGGAACCCTCAGCTCAGGTGGATGAGAAGAGGTGTTGCTATGTGGAGCAGGATGACATCAGCCTTGCAGAACAGAGAGGATAGATGGAGCATGGTTTGCTTCCACTCAGAGCATTACTCAGGCGGTGAAGATCTTCCTGAAAAGCAGTAATAAGCAGGTGGAGAGTTGAATATAACCTTTTTTTCTTTTGGTGCCTCTTACATGGTTTTTCAGCTCTTCAGTTTAGAAAATTGTGGTTCTGTTTGTGTTTAATTCCAAATCAAATGGAATTTGTTTCTTGATGAAGGCTGTGAGTCACTATGTTTTTGCAGGCAATCTCCCTGGATTTCAGATCACACATAAATTACTGCACAAGATGTAGGCGATGCTCAATTAAGATGAAATCATTGCACCTTGCTAGTGTAGCTTATCAAAGGATGCTGAGCATTAATATCAATGTGGATTCAGTTGGTCAACTACAGTATAGACAGTAATTTTAAGGTAAAGAACAAACCTGTGTACTCCAACCTTTTTACCTTTTGCCTCTACTGGCATGAAAAACTTTTAGCTGTTGCTTAAAAATTGCAGGGATTGTTCTTCTGGATGTTTTCATCAAATTATTTGGTACACGGAAAAAGCAATATATAAACAAAGTATGTTATGCTTTGTCTGAGTTTAATATACCATTTGATTAAGCTTTGAGTGCATAATAGCATCTACATTTAAAAAGGGAGCAAAAATCTAGTAATAGCATTAGCAGTGGCTTCTGTGTCTTGTAAGAGGTTTCTTGTGCTGATGGTAAGTCAGGAAAAGAATGCAAGAAGAAGTCCTTGTGCTGCCTGTATGTTGTTTGTGAAAGAGTAGAAAACAGCATTTGAAGAAATAAGTTCTCCAGAGGGTTAAATAGGTGCAAGTGGTGAGTAGGAATAAAAGATGGCATCTATTGCGGTGGGAAAATACTTTAAAGAATTAGAAGGAACCTAAAAAAAAATACGATTGGAACTGAAGTCAAGAAGGGCTTTAACTAGTTTAACGTATACTACTGTCATATTTCTCTGCTTTCTATACAGCAGATTGCTATGCAGTGATCTCCCAGAGAGTTCAATGGTTTGGGAAGATAACCTGACCTCTTTCACTCTGATTTGTTATGTTACATTAATGTTGGGAGCATGTGCAGTACACAGGGTGCCAGCATCCATCCCATGCAGCGTCTAATGATTTACTTGCCTTTGGATGGACTAAAAAATTGAGCCCTGCAATATTGCTTGTTGATCAGCAAACAAAATACCAGCTGGAGAAGGCATTGTATTAGCTTTGGTTAGGTGTTGGTGACTGTGGAGAAAATCAATGTATTACCTCATCAAAAGAAATTACCATAAAATAAAATACATATGGGAAGAAGGTGGAGAATTATTATCCCTGTCTGTAAACATGCCTTATCTGTCTGTGGTTAAGACACGGCAAACAAATGGTAATGGGGACCTAAGCAGCTACACTTAAGAAGCAGGTTTCTTCTCTGTCTATATAAGCCTTTGCCACTCACATAAGTACTTAAAAATTGACAAGTTGATAATTCATGCCTGAATTTCCTGTTTATGCTAAATTTGCAACTCTTTATCCTTTTGATAAATACAACAGTAAGTCTCTCTTCAAAGTGTATTGGTAAGGGCAGGCAGTGCTCAGAATTCCAAAATTTAATAAAAAAACATGCACTGATACTTTTATGTTGTGCTAAAAATAACATTTTTATTATTCATAAAAAGTTATGATTAAACTTGCAAAGGCACAAAACCATCACAAACTGTAAAAAAAAAAAAAGGTAGATGGTATTACTTGTACTTCTGAGTTTTTTAAAAAAACTATTTGAGATCCTCTAAAAAGACAAGGGTGACAAACACATCTCAGGTTAGACAGCTGTTTCAGACCATTTCTCACTGGTCTAATGTTAACAGAAAAATTTTCTTTAGCTCCTTCTTAAACATGTTTTTCAGATCTGATTGGAAATCATTTAGTGCAATTTGGCTAAATTATCTGTCTAAATGCTTCTAATGCTGCTTTTCTTTCTTTTTTTTTTTTTTTTAATCTATTCTAGGATGTTTTGAATAACTTGGGTTCTTGTGAGTTGGATGAAGATGACCTAATGCTTGACTTGGAGTTCCTGGAAGAGCAACATCAGCAGCGTTCTGGTAAGTCAGATAAATGCTGTCTGTCATCAGTGGGGTTATGTTATTCTAGGAATAAAAAGCAAATATGTTCAGTACAATTATTTGGAAATAAAAAGGAGTAATTTTCTTGGAAGTAGGAGAGTGGTAATCTTTTTTTAGAGCTATTTCCAAATGTGTTTGTAATTAATCAGAAAAATGCTGTTTACACAGCACTTGGATTTCGTATGGTCAGTTATGAAATGGAAGTGATTTTTACAGCTACAGAATTACAGTACCAAGGGCAGATCTGTCTGTTTTTCTAAATACTTAAAATGACTGCTGCCTTCCCCAGGCACTTAACAAAAGAGCATTGGTGGAATAATTGTGATCACATTTTGTGTGTGCCAGAATAATATTTTTGAAATAAAGAAGGTTTGGCTGGAAACATGAGTGTAACTTGATGGTTTCACTCATGTTTGGTTAAAGCCTTGTTGCACTGCCTTGATTAATAGCAATAAACTATTGCTATATACTGTGTTTACTACTATTTCATAATAGGATTATGCAAGGTAAGTTGTGGGACCTGTGAAAAGATATTTCCTTTGCTGGGATATGGGACAGCAGGACCTTGTCTGTCAGTAGAAGTCCTGCTCGTCTCAGCAGGGTTTGGAGAGTCTTCAAACCAGTGTGAGACTTGTGCTTGATCCCAGTTAGAGTTCTGGGTTTGTACTCTGCTGTGATGCCCTATTCTGACAGTGCCATGAGTTTAACCCTGAGGAATTCTCACCTTCTCTTTTACCTACTGTTCCCTGATCCCAGTTTCTCCCACATAGTTGCCTACAGTGCACATTCTTGCAGACTCATGTGGAAGTGGGGTTTTTGGGACATGTGCTGGCTGGTGTGGACCGTCTTCAGTTCTGGTTCCTTCTTAGATGCAAATTTAGCAATGGTTGCAGATAAACTGCTTGGATTGTGGTGCTGTTTGATATTTTCTGTGTTTGATTGTTCTGTGAGCATATCTGAATTATCTCTGTGATAATTCTGTTTGACCATTGTGCCGTGCTTTTAAACCTGTTTGCATATCTACTTATGGGATGAAACATCTGTTCTGTTTGCTTCGGTAGGGAGTATAGAAGGTTGCAGCAGTAATATGTTCATGATCATAGTTTTCTAATTTGTTGGAAGCTGGGATGCAATAAATGAACTGCACAGAAAAGGACTTTTCTAGCCCATTCTGAATAGTGCTATTAACTGTTTACAGAAAGTTGAATGATGGGTAAAGCAATGTGGTTTCAAAAAGCTTCAGAAACAAACATTGAGTTTTATAAGAAGTCATATGGGGTTCAGACTTACTTATTCCCTGGACTGGTTGGAAAGGAGTTAACTGGCAGAACTGTTTTCCATAAATAAACTTCCCTGATGTGTTGCACTTGGCCTGACCTTTGTTTTCCTTCTTTTTTTCACAAAGCACTAAGTTACAGTGAAATAAAAGTTATGTCCAGTATATGACTACAAAGATTTTGTAGCAGCTTCTAGAGCAGCTAAAATAATAATGTCTGAGCGACATACTTGATAGAGAGGTAATTAAGATGGAGATGTGGTATGACACATAATCTTCCTGCTCTTGGCTCATTATCCAGAGCAAATGAGATGCTTTTAAAACCGAGATCTACATTGTCCTCTGAAGAATGGTTACCATTTCTATTCTGAGCAATAAAGTGGAGACACAAACTGCAGTATGCACACTGTCTTTAAACACAAATGTGTTTATTTTAGTAATATTTGTTCTTTGGTTGTATTTGTTTGGTGGTGAATCTAGCTGCAAAAAATTTAGCATTTCCCTAGCTGTCACTGTTTTTTTAAAGTCACTCACTTGGAAGAAAGATTTGGAAGGGTAGAGCCACAGTATGGAGTTGACTCAATTTCACCAAAAAAAGCTGATGTCTTTATTTTGCTTGATGATCTGGCCCAAAATGGTTCATGTGGTTGTAAGTCATCACCTTAATTTGCATTAAGATATTGAAGCAGTGTGCTTGATTTTTAGTGACTTAGCATTTGAATACCACTGAAGTGCATAAAAACCTTGAACTAGATACTGATATTTAAACACTTTTAACAAATTCCTTTTCTGATTCCTTTGTTGAGGCCAACTTCTAGGATTTAAGAATTTTCAAAAATTTTTTTCAGTAATTCCAAGTCAGTCCGTTCTCTGTTTTCACTTCTGGGTTTGCTTGTTTTTTTCCAAGAGGTATCTCTATTCATACCTAAATAGAATTCTTCTAAACTTTTTCAGTTAAATTACATTATCAAATATTTTTTATGCAATTTTTTTATAGGCACCAGAATACAGAAAGGATCAAATGATCACGTTAAAGACATACAGTTAATTTAATGCAGAGCTTTACACTTTCATAAATTCATCTGATTGAAATTGATCATATTTCTGGGCATGCACATAAAAGCTCTGTTCATGTCATGTAATTGGGAGGTAATGTATGTTTTTTAAAAGATTTTTAATTCTGACTGCTTCAGAAACAAGAAGACAGCAGATTGCACGTGGAGGATGAGCAAGTACTGTTACTGCAGAACATACTATTCTAATGGAATTTGAATTAAACCATAGGACTGTTTAATGCTTCAGGTATGTGACTGGCCTGAAAAGTAGATGATTTTCTGTAATTTTTGCCAGTTGCAGATTTGTTGAACTCTTTGTGAAGACGACTTTAAAACTGTGGGCTTGCGAGTTTGCCTATGGCCCGCTTCAGTAAAATTCAGTCAGGACAGTTGCAGGCATACAGATTTGTGAGCCTCCTTTAGTCAGAGGTTAGACAGATGTGCTGTCTCTTCTACAGAAGATTCAGCCCTATATTATGTCAGCTTTACATATTTAATCCATTTTATTACAGTATTTTTTTACCTTCCTGACAAGTTCCTCATGTCTCTCTAATATTTGCAGGGCATCTGTGTAGCTGACATTCACACGTGTGTTATACTGAAGTCAACTAAGAGTTAATGCATGTGTTCTTAGTCTGTTATCAAAATAAAGGTGTTCATGAGTATAAAAGTATTGCACAAAATGCTGCTTTTTGAATGGAAACATAAAAATTATGCTTTTCTGGAAGTCAAAAGTATTAGCAGTACTGTGACTATTTGTAGTACAGTGAAAATCCTGTTGATGTTCTATGTACTGATACAGCATTTATTTGGTTAAAGCCACCAGTCCTGTAGCTCTATTGCCATTCACCTGTTCCATTTTGCTTTTGATGAACAGTTCTGTAGGGAATTACTATGGGGAGAAATCTTCCAAGAGAAGCTCCGTTCATATAAAGAGGTATAATTGGAAAATTATTCAGTTTTTTCTTCATTTGTTACAGAGGGATAACTAAGGAATAGCTAGGAATAACTGTTCTTTAAAAGGCTATGAAAATTTCTAATGATAAATTACATGAACACAAGGGCTAACATCATATTTCTAACTTGAATATCAAAAATAATGCCTTGATGAGGAGGCTGTGTACATCAAGCTGTGTCATTTAGACCTAGCAATTCCGAAGGGTCCTGCCCCAGTTAATAAACACTGTTGATGAACTGATTAATGGCAAATTGAGAAATTCTCTTATATGCCATTAGGAACTCCAGTTTTTTAGAGATTTCTTAGTTAATACATGATTTACAATAATTTCTGCTTTTAGCTGCTGTAGTTTTAAAGAACACTATTTGTTAGTATGACGATCTGTCTCCAACGTTGTGCTAAAGCTTACATTATAATACTAATTTAACAAAAATAATTGTATTGCATTAATCTACCATTGTTTTAGTGACCATTTATGAATAGAAAATAAGATTATGTTGGAAAGATTTCTGGGAGAATTCTCTATTAGGGAGGTTTCAGGAGGATCTACAAGCTAGTTGGTAGGAAAGGAGGTGTTCCAGAAAGTGGTATACTGTGTTAATTAAAATATAGAAATAGAAAGGAGAAAGCGACAAAGATCTGTAACCTCTTTTGTTGTTTATGGAGCTTTTTATTTATTTATTTATTACTTCAACTCATTTTTTGCTTGTGCTCTTGTTCTGTCCCCTCAGCTTTTCCCTAATGATCTGGTTGCCCTCCAGCAGCATCCCCATGAAATGAGGTTCCTGAAAAAAGGTGCTATAAATCCTTTTGAGTACTACCGAATTAGCAAATTAAAAAATGTCCCTAACTTTTTCTCTAACCATACAACAGAAGATAAGGAGACACCTGCAACCTCAGGCAGATGCTTCTACTTTGGACATAAATGTCTGTGCTTTGCTGGTCTTAGCACAGCTTTAGAAGTCTGGAATTCCCTCACTTCCGACTTTCTCTCTGTGTGTTTACTGCTTTAATTTACTACTTTTGCTTCTGTTTTAAAGGCTATGTTGTTGAGACAAAGGATGTAAGACAGAGACATTTTATTATCCTGCCTAACACAATTGCTTTGAAATGTAATAAAATAATATTTATATAGTACTTGGTGAATGCAGAGCACTAATGCATACAAATTCAAAACATTAATGTGATTTGCTGAGAGTTTTGCATACCGATCTTCAGATGGAATGCTTAAAATGAAGTATAATATGACATACGTGATGAGTCTTGAGGGTGTCTTTTTATAAATCTGAGTAAATTAAACTCTTAAAGTATGCTGCAGCTTTGATTTCCGGTTGTAAAATAATGAAGTCAGTGGTTTCTATAGTGGGAAATCATTGCAGGTTTATAGAAAGTGACAGCATTAATTTAACTTCATTCATTTTCTTTTTCCCTTGTGAAACATGATGTATTTGATTCTGAGTATTGATTAGTGAAATGAATGAGGAAGACCTTTATATTCAGTGATACAAGCAGTGGGGAGTTTTTTCAAGTAATGCACATTAATGTGCATGAGTTGTGTGCTGGTGTTGTGCCATAGCCTATTGAAAACTAAGTGGTTTTATGTGGTCGGTGTTGTCATTAAATCAGGACTGCAGTTTTTTTTCTTCTGAAAGCTCACAAAAGCACAGCTATCCAAGGGCTTGGTAATTCC